CACACACACACACACACACACACACACACACACACACACACACACACACACACACACACACACACACACACACACACACACACACACACACACACACACACACACACACACACACACACACACACACACACACACACACACACACATGCACACACACACACATACATACATACATACATACATAGATGTGCGTGCGTCGTGTGTGGTTGTGTGTGTGCGTGCGTTTGTCTGTGCGTGCGTGTGTGCGTACTTACGTGCGTGCATGTGTTTGTTTGTGTGAGTGTGCGCGCGCGGCGTGCGTGTGTGTCTGTGCGTGCGTGCGGGCCTGCCTGCGTGCCTGCGTGCACGCATGCATGCCTACGAGCGTGTGTGCGTATATATTTATTTATACATTTTATATTTTTTCTTATTGGTTTATATAACTGAGTTCTATATATATTCTTACATAGCCATGCGGACATAGAGATTCATGTATCCACCATCTTAAATGTTTACCAGATCACAAAGAACATTTCTTAGTCGACTATCCAGGTGCACCTTACTGCGATAACCGCGACAAGCTATCTCAATCAATGTATCAGTAAAAACAACTATATATAGTTACTAAGTGTTAATAATGACAAATGTCATTTTGTCATTATTTGTCACAAATTGTCACAAATTGTCACATTTTGTCACAATTTGTCATTATTAACCCCTGATAGTATCTAATCAATTAGTCGGCGATAATCACATAGACAGGGCTAGCTTTACTGTTATAGCCCCTTCGCTTCCACTACGGGCTCTCCCTGTAGCAGGATCAAAGGAGCTCCACTAGTAAGTAGAGCTAGGACGGGGCTTGATTGTAAGACAGTGGTAGCCGCAAGCAAAGCGTTAGGTCTAATGGCATCCCTCTGTAAACTTCCACCCTAATAGCGACCGTGAAAGGTAACGCAACCCTAGCGTAACGATGTGTAAACCTTGCGCTGAATAGGCGATGCCCGGCTGCCCATTTAATTAGCCTCCCTTGTCTGCAATTGACTTGGGCGCACAAGCAAGATCGATACATGCGATTTTCTCGTTGATTTTCGCTAGAAGGTAAACGGCGCCACGTTTCATATGCAGCAAGGGAACATGAAAGCGAGAAGACGATCAGAATAGCCGCATGGATATTCGCACTACTGTTTGCACACTGACCCTAGACCAGTTCTTAACCTTTTTTGGGTCATGGACCCCTTTGGAAATCTGGTGCAAGCTACGGACCCCTCCCCAGAAAAATTCACATAAGCACATAAACACAATAATGTTTATGCGCAGGTTCACGGACCCCTTGAAGCCCATCCACGGATCCCAAAGGGACCACAGGTAACTAAGAACCACTTTGTAACTAAGGAACCACAGGTAACTTAAGAACCACTGCTCTAGACCGACTCCGTCATTCGCTAATAATTGCGTGCTCAAGCACGGGGACTTTTGTACTCCGGCTATCAAACATTATTTGGTCAACAGGCTGTCGTCGTGCAGTGGGGCGAACCCTGTCACCGCTGCCGCTGCTCCACCACACATTCAATGTCTTTAACAGCAGCAGCAGCAGCCCAGCAATAAAAACAAAAATTAAGCAGACCTGGGGTCGGATTTCAATGCGGATGCCAGGGGCTGCGACCGGGCCCAGGATCAGTGGCACCGATTTCACTATCCAGCGTAAAGCACCCGTTAGTCCGACCATGGCTCGCGTGTTTAGGCGCGTGGGATCGAGACCTCGGTGCAAACAAGAGCAACGGTCACAGATAATTCTCCAAACAACCCCGTCGGAATGAGGAGTATGTCCGTGTGAGAGCAATAGAACTGTAGACACAGTTCTAGCCAACACAGGATGGGTGTCCCGTAGGTGCCTGCTGAGTAGTCAGCGTAACCTCAGCTAAAATTATGATCACTCGCATGTCAGTCGAGTTCCTCCTAGCGTCCTGATCACTTCTAAATTGATCATGCAGCCCTAACCATACTATTTGTGTATATCTGCATAAATTTATCAGTATATATAGCAAGTGGGTATGCATTATAAGAAAAACCGATTCTTCCTACATCTCGTGACGTAGGACCTTGCGCCATTATTCCGCGACCTTATTACGACATTACTTATAAAGTAATATAAAATTCGCAGATAATCCTGGTAACTAACAATACACTTTCAACAATACAGTGTGTATTGTTGAACACGTTCTAACAATATAATGTGTATTGTTGTAGAACCTAACAACTGCGTATTTAAATTCAATTTCATTTTCAATAAATTCAATAAAATCAATAAAATCATTTCAATAAATTCATTTAAATAAATGTCAATTTCAAGTTTAATTAAAGTAATATCGCTAGGCCTATATATTTCTTAAAATAACACTATAGATACTATAACAAAGACGAGATCGTTAATTAAAAATATTTTGGTCCTAAACATATGGATAAAACAATTATAACAAATGCGAAACATTTTTACATGATATGGCACCAGTGGCATCAAGGTCAATAAGAAAAAATATTTCAGGAAACAATCTCTTGTTATGTTCTGCAAACAATACACATATTGTTAGAAGGTGTTCAACAATACACACTGTATTG